CGTCTCTGTCGAGGATGGTGTCGTGCTCTCTGATCGCTTATTTACCTTAATGTATTATAAACATAGAACCGACACACTCACCCTTATCAAACATATCGTTAATTGCCAATTAAGCCTGAGCTTCAGACTGATGCTTAATTACCGCTAACGAGAGCCGAGTAGCGGCAAGGTCTGCTCTCTCCCATGCACGTTTACCGCGGGAAACACCCGTACACACTCAGAGCATCATTCAGAGCATCATGAATATTCACGCCGAACGGGACACGCGGCTAAAGACGAGCTCCCAACTCCCGCCGAGAACGTGCGCTTAGCATCCTGCTAGTTTACGTGCTGTGAAGTGCACACCGCAGGACCAGGACCACGCTGAGAGCTGAAACCCGTCTCGTGACACTCATGACACCTGCATATGCAAATCTCAGCACTGCGGGCCTGTCGACACCGTCTCGCCGTGAGCTCAGTGACATACAGGAGTGGGGAGAGGGACTGAAAAAGGAGGATGAGATGTTGCCTTATATCAACTATTTTTAAAGATTTCTAATAACGTATTGATTAGAAACCCAGCAGTTGTTTTCTGCAGCATATGCTGTATATATTCTTATAAACTACATTATGTGATGCAAAAGTCATTCGATTTTTTTTGTTAAGCGTATTTTATGTTGGCATCTCACAAACACAATCAATGAAAAGCACATTACCATTTTCAGTGGTGGTGAGTAATGAAGTAAAAATACTTTGTTGCTTTACTTAAGTATTTTTACTCCACTACAATATTAAAGACAAAGTTTGCTTTTTACGTTGATACATTTCCCCACGCCCGGTCCAAGTGTTTCTTACACTGGCTTTCCAAACCAATGAAAGACTTGGTTTTCTTTTGAATGGTGAGTTGACGTTAAAGCAACACTAACGATTTTTTACCTTAAAATAATGTTTCCAAATATTGTTTCAGCGGTTCATCATGTCGTAACAGGGTGGAAGGCACATTTGCCTTTGCTTTGTGGTCCTATATCTGTATATAACCACACTATGTAAGTTTGCCAGATCGGGTCGCGTTTCTGTAGTTCAAATGAGAACTACAAATTTGACTTTATGGTAAGCGTTACTATTATTCACAGCGTTCACGAACAATGCCGCTTCCAACCTGTAGGGCGACCGCAGAGGAAAAGTTTTCCTTTAATGTTACTAATGTTAGCCTAACCGAAGCGCCCGCGTCATCAGATCACTTGGACGTGGCTAGGTAAAACGATATAAATACTGTTTGTTTTCTCACACAAACCGCTCGTTTCGTGTTTCAGGCCATCAATGTGTACTTACATTTACGAGTCATTAAATCATGTTTAATTTTGACTTCTCTGCATGCTCTTTTGAGGTGGTGACCATAGACCTCCATTATATGACTGACAGACAAGAACGGTTTGACCTAAAAATATCAAGAATTGAAACTACTGCGGAAACAAAGACACCCACATCTTGGATGCCCTAAAATATACCAAAAATTAATTTCAAAGTGAACTATCCCTTTAATTGCAGCATTATATTAGTAGAACATTGCATATAACTCCCAAAACAATAGATCTGCTTAATTATTCATATTTACAGTTCATTTGAATATTTACGTACGTTTTAAATTGGATACTTTTGTACTTTTACTCAAGTGATGTTTGAATGGAGGACTTCCTACTTTTACTGGAGTAATTTTTTATTTAGGTATATTTACTTTTACTGGAGTAATTTTTTTATTTAGGTTTATATACTTTTACTCGAGTTCTTTCACCACCCGTGAGTGTCATTGCAAGAAAAAACCTGAATGGGAAGTGTATTAGTGAGCTAAACATGGCATCAAAACAATATTTAGCTTTTAATGAAGGCAGGCTGTTTGTTGTCTCATATATTTCAGATTAAATCTCATTGCGTTTTGAATTATATTATTAGACCGTACTGTAATAGAGAGCTCGTAGCGGGATGAATGATCTCTATCTCTGACAGAATCGTATATTTGACCTGTCATCTCTAGATGAATGATTCTATAGGCTCGCTTGCGCCACATCTGTAGTTAATACTGTTCAGCTATTTTGGTGAACTCTAAAAAGATGAAACTTTAATAAGGTTCGTTTGACAGCATATATATGAGAACCATGTAGTTTTTTATCTATCGATCAGAGGAAATATTTCTGAAACTAATAAAGATATGTGCGGCATTAGGTTTTATACTTCGACGGTTTATTTGCCGGGAGTTATTGTTCGGCTTAAGCAAAATGTGGGTTTCTATTATACTCCAGCGGCTAAGCACAGCTAAAGCCTTTAATATCCATTTATGAAGATATTCATTTCATATTCAGCGAAATTCATGAGGTAGAAAATGTTATTATAGAGCCCATGAAAGCCAAAATGAGCCAATTGAGAAAGAAAGTTTGCATGTGCCTTCTGTGAGCACCGTCAACGCCAAAAGTATTTTTTTCCAAAAGTAAGTCCACTGTTTTCATGACCATTGTCTTTTCACACAAAATGACTTAATTATCAGAAAAGCTGATTAGCAAAGCCCAATAGGTTGCAGTGTAGGGCTGCATTTTCATACCTGTTGGTCATTTTCTTTGTTCTGAAGTGTTTGGTTTGCTTTCACAAGGCAACATTTCAAAGCGTACCAAAATGTGCAAGCCACGTGTATAAAACGATCCTCTTATTGGTCAGAGTTCAACCAAAGAGTATAGAAGAACAAGAAGCGAAACTCTGATGCTTTTTTGGTAACAGCCACTAGGTGGCGCTTCGGGAGCACGGCCGCCATTTTGGGGTGAAAATTCCAACTGGAGTTACTGGACAACAGCATAGATAACAGTTTTTTGAGGTAGTTTTATCTTGCATTAGTGAGTATTTTCCATGCGGCAAAATTCTAATCTGAAAAATGAAGTGCAAAAAACTGCAATACATCGAAAATCCGCTATAGAGGCCGGTCCCAAAAGGGAGCAAATATCCATAGACCTCACATTAAAATGTCCGTTTTCACAGCATAAATTCATGTGTTTACAGTTTGACTTTTATTGTATTTTTCGATAGGTTCCGCGTGCCTGACAACTGTGAGGTGAGTGAATTTTTTTCTAACTCGTTAGTTTAGATCGTATTTAGATATAAAATGTATGACAAATAAGGGCGGTTAACTTTGATTGACAGCTGATAACGGGCTGCACCGAGTGGAATTTGACGTCTCGGCCATGATCTGACACGACACATCATACCACCTCTGTATCCTTTCTGAACATTTGTATTTTGTATTTCTCAAGATTTTCTAATATGGCGACACCCATACCCCCCATAAACAACCTCAAACCAGCCTATGGGTGACGTCACAGATGCTTTGTCCATATTTTTTACAGTATATGGTATTTCCATTGAATGCAACTTTACATATTTACTACTTATATTAGTTACCAACTCCACTAGGCCTGAAATATTATATATTTTGTACGTTTTAATCTCCTGGATCATGCTACAAACATGATGATCATTGATGCGCTGTGTCCGTTATCCTATAACTTTAATTGCCACTTTGGACATTGGCTGTGTTTTTTTTGTTTTGTTTACATAGTCTTGCTTTAACGGTCATTAATATAAGATAATACTGCAAAATACTGGTGTTGCAATGGAGCGTTCACTTCTTGTCAATATACGTTCTTTGAACTGTTTTCGTTCCTCAAGATGGACCGAGACAATCGCTCCGCTGGCTTTGTTTACAATGGTCAGGATACACGCAAACACTTACTCGAATGTAGCCTTGATTTCCCTGCTCTGATAAATTTAATATTAAAAAATACAGTGATGTGAATAAGTTTGGACACCCATGCTAAAGTTGCCTAAAAAAAGGAAATAACTGGCTTTTAAAAATAAAAATCTGCCTGACTCTATGGGAATTTAACATAGGGGTGTCCTGACTTACTGTATGCACCCTGTATTTTAAGGAAAAACATTTATTTATTTATTTATGATACATTATTCATTCACAAAGAAAATCTGTGTCCTTAAAGGTTGGAGTTTTCCTCATTTTTCTAATTAAGGCATTAAGATTAATATCCAAAAGATGATTTTTTTATTCCTCTTTTTAGGCAACTTTAGCATGGGTGTCCAAACTTATTCACATCACTGTATATTACATTTATAAAGCAAGTTAGGCTTCGTTAAGACAGCATTCTTGCAATGCACGAAGAATAATAATTGCTCGGATACAGAGGCGCTCTTTGGTTTTTAGCTATAAACTCAGAATCAGACACTGCTTCTCGTATACAACACATGATACGGCTTGGTTGGTCCATTGGTTCAGATTGCTTTCAAACCTCAAGCAAACCGGCCTAGAGAACGTTTTCAATCGGTTCGACCACCTCGTTTAAAGGAGTAGTTCACTTTTAAAAAAACTTTTGCTCATAATTTACTCACCCCCATGTCATTCAAGATGTCCATGTCTTTCTTTCTTCAGGTGAAAAGAAATTAAGGTTTTTGATGAAAACATTCCAGGATTTTCTCCACATAAAAAAATGTTTCAGTGCAGCTTTAAGTTATCTTGGAGTGACACATTCTCAGCATGTGATTGGCTGTTCGCTACTGATGTCACACCTAAACTCAGTATAAAGCCAGAGTTGACAGAAATCATGTTTGTCAATAATATGAAACATTTAATCCGGAAAGGACAAAACAAATGATAGACCCATACAGAACCTTTTTCCTGGTTACAAAGAACCCTAGAGTTCTTATTGACCCTTAAAAAGGCTTCTGTATAGAAACTTAGGGGTTCCAAATATGTAGCACTGATAGAACCTTTTCTTCTAACAGTGTATGTAACGCCTGACTTGTGCCGCTCAATGTGTATAATGTCAGTTAATTACTTGTAAGCGTGTGTGTTCAGTGTAATACTGAGAGATGATAGGGTAAAAAAGGTCTCACATTTTGTTAGATGACACTTTAAAAAGATAAATGAAGAAAGTCAACAACCACAAAAATAACCTGACTCAAAATTGAAATCACTGAACAAACATCTTGGTTTCATTTTTAATTTGTTTTTTTGTTTTTTACATTTGAACATTACAATAGTTTTCTTCCCTCGCTCCGTTCCCTTCGTTTGTTTAAATATTATTACGTGACTGGCTCTATAAATGTTTTCGAGGCGCTGGCGTTTAGAGCCGCCACACTACACCAAATAAAACAGTTTACATCTGCAGCAGGAAAAAGAAAGACACATTTACATCAGAATATACATATCAGATCATTTAACATAAAAAATTTGCTATTTATATATATATGTTTGACCTAAAACAGCTTTTCAACTGGGTTTCGGGTCAACACATTTTTTTTTTTCAGTGTCTTCAACTGGCTGTATATTAAAATATGTCAATATTTCAGATAAAATGTCCTTGAAATGGAATCGGAGCACACCAGTAATAGATTGCTTTTCGTTTGGCTTCTCAACCTGGACGCCAGTGGCAAAAAAATAAAAAGCAACAATTTTTCATACATCAAATCTCCGTAAGGTCACTCGTGACAGCTAGCATGTGCAAAGAGAAAACCGCCATTCTTTTAGCTTCCTCCGTACACTTGATTTACTCAGAATAAATTAAATCTCACAGGACTGAGGTATGATTCATTCAAAATGTTTGTTTGCTTCAGTCAAAAGTCAAATAAACGGCTTCGTTCACGTACAGTCCACGACAGGTTCCAAAATCAAGAGGAACGTCCTCTATTAGACAACATTAACAACGAGAGACAACATAGTAAGTTTCTTTTTTGTTTTTTTTCTTCTAAAGAGTATAAAAATGTCACAGGAAAACGTCCTCTCGTTGATCACTAACACACAGTGTGCTTTGGACGGGAGTGGTGTTTCTGAAACGGAGTATGCTGGTATCACACCTGTAAAATGATTCAGCTCATGTCGTGTGTGTACGCTAATTATATATATTTTTTTAACCATCATACGTCAATTAATTTCACCCTGAACTGGTTATATGCAGTGAATATTTACAGATACATTTCTTTCTCTTATATTTGAAACCACCATGTTTGAAAACAAATGTTACAGTATACTTTTTTTCCCTAAATGACAACAACAACAAACACAGATAGATAGATATAGATATATATATATAAAAAGGACCATAAAAATATTGGAGTCCTCTCCCTCTGTATTGCCCAAAAATAGGTCATTATGATCAACAAAGAGACTTCACAATTAAAAACAGCTACTAAGATTAAGTAATTTTCTTTTTTTTCTCCTTTTTTTTTCAATGGATGAATGGCGTGGTGTCTTTCAGTGCGGCGTCTGTCCAAGTGTGCAAAATATTAGTTTTTTTTTTTTTTTTAACTGGCATCAAAATTGAGTCTGACCACACTTAAAATGAGCAAAGAACCTTAAAAGAATCGTGACGATCGCAACTGAATGATTCATTCATCTACGTATTTTTCTCTAAAAGCCGAAGTCATTTAAAACGCATACAGAAAGGGGACAAAAAAGGAAAGCAGTGAGTCCTGTGGTGACCGGAGGGCTGGATTACTGTTAACAGCAGTTCTGATGTTGTGTTTTCTGAGATGTTTTTCTTCTTTATTCGGGCCCACATCCCCTTGTCCTTTCACCAATCAGAACCTGTAGTGCTTGAAGTCTTTATGACATCCACTGTACATGAACCAATCAGAGACTCTGCCCATTTTCCCAGGGCCTCCAGATGAATTCTGGTGATTCAAAACAGATGACACACATTATAGAACAGGAAACCACAAACATTTGCTTAAAAAAAAAAAAATACTTTTGCTGATAATTTACTCGCCCCCATGTCATCCAAGATGTCCATGTCTTTCTTTCTTCAGTCGAAAAGAAATTAAGGTTTTTGATGAAAACATTCCAGGATTTTCTCCATATAATGGACTTCAATGGGGTCCAAACGGTTCAAGTTCCAAATGAGAGTTTCAGTGCAGCTTCAAACGACTCCAGACGATGAATAAGTCTTATCTAGCGAAACGATCGCTCATTTAAAAAAAAAAAAAAAGTTTGTTTTATAAGCTCAAATGCTTGCCTTGCTCTGTTCTGTGATGCGCGTTTGTGACTCTCCTGTTCGAACTCGTTCATCAAAATTAACGAATCTTTTTTCCAGTCATGACTCGAAGGGTCCTAGATAAGACCCTTATTCATCGTCTGGAGTCGTTTAAAGCCCTTTGAACAGATTGCACTGAAACTCTCGTTTGGACCTTGAACCGTTTGGTCCCCAATGAAGTCCATTATATGGAGAAAAATCCTGGAATATTTTCATCAAAAACCTTAATTTGTTTTTGACTGAAGAAAGAAAGACGTGGACATCTTGGATGACACAGGGGTGAGTAAATTTTCAGCAAAAGTTCTTTTAAAAGTGAACTACTCCTTTAACTTGACTATGAATGGCTACATAAAGGAATCAGAATGAAATTTTCTGAAAGAGAAAGATGTGCATACCTTCAATGAGTTGGTGCTGCATCTTCGCTTTCAGTGGTATCCATTTGTAAAAGCTGTGGCGATCAAAGGACCCTGAAAGCAGATAATGTGTAAGACGTTGAGCAGAATCAGTGATGTAGTGTTAATCTAACACAGAATACTTAACACGTTTCTCTTATGAACGGTCTGAGATTCATTCTTTGGTAACACTTTACTTGAAGGGGTGTGCATAAGACTAACATGACACCTTCATAATCATGACATATATGCATGTTTGTGACAACTGTCATTAAGTGTCTTTTGCTCAGTTTTGACATTTTTAGTGCAAATATGACATTGTTTGAGATGTTTTTGTTATGACACCTTGACATTACTAAGCAGGGATGGAAGAAATCAACTTTTTTGTCCACCGGCGGCCACTGTGGATTTCAAAATCTACCAACCACTCAATGTTTTTACCAGCCACTTTCTTGTTTTTAACCGACAATGTGTAACTGCATGTGAAGGCTAATGTGTAACTGCATGTGAAAGTTAACACTGGTAGGTAGGTTAATGTGTAACTGCATGTGAAAGTTAACACTGGTAGGTTGGTTAATGTGTAACTGCATGTGAAAGTTAACACTGGTAGGTAGGTTAATGTGTAACTGCATGTGAAAGTTAACACTGGTAGGTTGGTCAATGTGTAACTGCATGTGAAAGTTAACACTGGTAGGTTGGTTAATGTGTAACTGCATGTGAAAGTTAACACTGGTAGGTTGGTTAATGTGTAACTGCATGTGAAAGTTAACACTGGTTGGTTGGTCAATGTGTAACTGCATGTGAAAGTTAACACTGGTAGGTAGGTTAATGTGTAACTGCATGTGAAAGTTATTACTGGTAGGTTGGTCAATGTGTAACTGCATGTGAAAGTTAACACTGGTTGGTTGGTTAATGTGTAACTGCATGTGAAAGTTAATACTGGTAGGTAGGTTAATGTGTAACTGCATGTGAAAGTTAACACTGGTAGGTTGGTTAATGTGTAACTGCATGTGAAAGTTAACACTGGTAGGTAGGTTAATGTGTAACTGCATGTGAAAGTTATTACTGGTAGGTTGGTTAATGTGTAACTGCATGTGAAAGTTGATACTGGTTGGTTGGTTAATGTGTAACTGCATGTGAAAGTTGATACTGGTTGGTTGGTTAATGTGTAACTGCATGTGAAAGTTGATACTGGTTGGTTGGTTAATGTGTAACTGCATGTGAAAGTTAATACTGGTAGGTAGGTTAATGTGTAACTGCATGTGAAAGTTATTACTGGTAGGTTGGTTAATGTGTAACTGCATGTGAAAGTTGATACTGGTTGGTTGGTTAATGTGTAACTGCATGTGAAAGTTAACACTGGTAGGTTGGTTAATGTGTAACTGCATGTGAAAGTTAACACTGGTTGGTTGGTCAATGTGTAACTGCATGTGAAAGTTAACACTGGTAGGTTGGTCAATGTGTAACTGCATGTGAAAGTTAACACTGGTAGGTAGGTTAATGTGTAACTGCATGTGAAAGTTATTACTGGTAGGTTGGTCAATGTGTAACTGCATGTGAAAGTTAACACTGGTAGGTTGGTCAATGTGTAACTGCATGTGAAAGTTAACACTGGTAGGTTGGTCAATGTGTAACTGCATGTGAAAGTTAACACTGGTAGGTTGGTCAATGTGTAACTGCATGTGAAAGTTAACACTGGTAGGTTGGTCAATGTGTAACTGCATGTGAAAGTTAACACTGGTAGGTAGGTTAATGTGTAACTGCATGTGAAAGTTAACACTGGTAGGTTGGTTAATGTGTAACTGCATGTGAAAGTTAACACTGGTTGGTTGGTCAATGTGTAACTGCATGTGAAAGTTAACACTGGTAGGTAGGTTAATGTGTAACTGCATGTGAAAGTTATTACTGGTAGGTAGGTTAATGTGTAACTGCATGTGAAAGTTAATACTGGTAGGTAGGTTAATGTGTAACTGCATGTGAAAGTTAACACTGGTAGGTTGGTCAATGTGTAACTGCATGTGAAAGTTATTACTGGTAGGTAGGTTAATGTGTAACTGCATGTGAAAGTTATTACTGGTAGGTTGGTTAATGTGTAACTGCATGTGAAAGTTATTACTGGTAGGTTGGTTAATGTGTAACTGCATGTGAAAGTTAACACTGGTAGGTTGGTTAATGTGTAACTGCATGTGAAAGTTATTACTGGTAGGTTGGTTAATGTGTAACTGCATGTGAAAGTTAACACTGGTTGGTTGGTTAATGTGTAACTGGATGTGAAAGTTAATGCTGGTAGGTAGGTTAATGTGTTGCATGTGAAAGTTAACACTGGTTGGTTGGTTAATGTGTAACTGCATGTGAAAGTTAACACTGGTAGGTTGGTTAATGTGTAACTGCATGTGAAAGTTAACACTGGTTGGTTGGTTAATGTGTAACTGGATGTGAAAGTTAATGCTGGTAGGTAGGTAGGTTAATGTGTTGCATATGAAAGTTGATTCTGGAAAACACATTTGCTGTGATTCCTCTTCTGTGGAGCTGATCGGTCCTGAATAAATAAATCCTGCCCATTGTCAGACTGCATTTGTGAACTTACCAACCCACACGGCTGATTTAGAGGGCAAAACGGCAACCTGTCAACAAGCCTTTCTGAGAAACACAGCCGCTTATCGGCCTGTCATCAGACTATTGTGTGCATGGCAGGAGTGGATCTGTCTAATCCATACGAATAAATCAAAGTCAGTCTCACACCCGCTGCTTTAGAGGGCAGGAAGGAAACGCTTTCTTAAGTTTATATTGGCTTTTCTACCAGGCTTCCTAATTTTAAGAATTGTGGGTAATAAAACTATTTTGTCTTGGACATGTGTTTAAACTATGAGAAAGAGAGAGAGAGAGGAGGTGAACTGGTGACACGAGTCAGAAAAATAAATGGAGACGAGCATTTTAGTTCTGCGTCATTTCCCGTGTTAATGTTCTGCACGGAGACATCAAGCAATACACACACACACACACACACACACACACACACACACACACACACACACACACACACATCCATCAGTCCAGCTGAACAAACGCACACTACATTTAGAATTAATCACACAGCACAAAACGCTCTCACTCAGAAACACACTAATGCCGATGAATAAAGTTATGAATTCATGCAGTGGCATGTTTTATTTAGATGCCAGGAGGCAGAAATGAAGAATAAAAGACTCAAGTTTCTGCTCACTTCAGTTTCTAACCAGCAGTTAATATTCCTGTCACCAATGAATTGTCTTTATACACAATAAACAGCTGTTTATTTTCAATTCTTCAACATTAGCAACCAATTTAACGAGGGGTTTTTTTTTCATTCAAAGTGCCTTAATTCTTACAGAGTCAATCTCTAAACATAAATGTCTTGCTCAAGGGCCCAATAGTGAAAGTTAACGAATCAGGTTTGTAAGGTAGTTTTCATTCCAAAGCTCTGTCTCCTTTATTTAACACACCTGATTCAGATCATCAACTAATAAGACAACAACGAGTTGCTGTTGTAGATCTGCACAATTAACCGTTAAAAGATAGCGATCGCGACACGATCTTATTCCTAAACGACAACAATTTGGTTATGTCTATAGTATTCGAATAAAAGTTTATGTGATCAAAATAGAGTAAGTAACCTTTTGAAAGTCAATTAACACTTTAAATAAAGATTGTATCAATTACATCGTTACTGTATTTGTCATTAAGTCAAAACATTCGTTCGAAAACAGACTACACTTGTTTCATTACTGGGTGATTCAATATGAGTGAGTCATAAAATTTAAAAAATTCAATTTAAAGGTGCAGTCCGCAGCTTTTTTGGTTAAAAATGATTCAAAATAAATTTTTGTACAAGCTCGAAGTCGTTCATCCCCGGATGTGGCGATGCCGCGCGCGCTGTCTCAGTTATGCGGCGTGTCCGTTTTTATTTCGTTTTTTCAGCAAAAAAATACAATAAAAATAGGAAACGATGTTTATATGTAATTCTGTCAACAAATAATTCATAAATTAATCTGTAAATTAATCATTACATTTTGATGTTTGAAAGTCTAGGTTTTGACATAAATTCAGATATCAATGTAATTTAAACAAATAATAACAATAATTATTATCGATTTTCAAATATTGCCATTATTTTTGCCTATATATAATTTCATGTCATTTTATTTTTTATTTTTTTAAACAATCGAGTCCTGGTGTCAACTACAGAGGTCATAGCATAACATGAATAAAATATCTTTTTTTTTTTTCATTTGTTTCTTATGCTCTTAACAATGTGATTATATCATCCTGAGGCCCAGAACGTTTTTTTCAAAAGTTTTTTTTTCTCTTCTTCTTCATGTAAAGTATTTAAACCATGGATGGCACATGTTGGTACATTTGAGAAAAATGAAAACCAAAGTAAATGTTTATTCCTCAAACCAAAATGCGACAAAAGTATTGTCTGATTTCTGAAGACTTTGATTAAACCATCGTATATGGACTATTATGGTGATTTAAAAAAAAAAAAATATATATATATATATATATTATCAAGGTTGGAACAGCAAGATGAGTAAACAATGACAGAATATTTAACTAATCCACCACAATTACACCTCTTTCATATACAGCAGAAAACAGGCCTTAAAGCAGATCACCCTCAAGCAACAAAACTGTAGAAATCTGCTGCAAACACTCGCATAAATCAAAACGTGCTTCAGTTAGTTAAGAAATTGATTTGTGAGAAGAGGGTGAATCATTTAATTTCAATTTGGCACCTCATTATAAATGCTTTCTTCTTCAAATTGAGATCCGCGCTGACACCGAGCCGCAACCTGACGTCCGTGACATGTGCAGACAGAATCCGTGCGCTCCCCGACAAAAGCCAATTAAAGCATGTTTTTGTGCAACGCATGGGCTTTTGTTTGGAGACGGTGTCAAGAGTATCTGCTAGTTACAGGGACATCTGATTTTTGACAACTTGCTCATTTCCAACCATGGCAGCTTTTCGCTTTCTCTAAACTGTTTGTGATGCTTTTATTCCCCAAACAAAACATCAGCGAGACGAGAAGTGTCAGTCTAACGGAGACTCGTGACTCATTGGGGTATTTTTGAACATGTGGAATGGAACTAATTCCTCTGATATTCTTTTTTTTCTCTTACTTTCTTTTTTCCAGTGCTGCGTTTATAAATTGCTGCGCCGACAATCAAGCACTTGGCATAAAAAAGTGAGTCATGATGGAAGGAACAGCCAATCAGACACTTATTTCTCAGTTGGAGGTTGAATAGAATTAAAAACCATGATGGACAAAAGTGAGAAGTTTCTCTGTACTTTTGGATGTCTTGAGTGAAAGAGCGCCGTACTCACTGCGATACTGTGATTGAACCCGGAGCCCGGCTGGGGGCTGGCAGCACTGATGTAATTTCCCACAGCTGAGTCCTGACTGCTGGGGCCGTACAGGTCTGCCACGGGTCCAGGACTGTTTGCAACGGGGAAACCTCCAGGTCGGGGAGGGTTAGCACCTGTACGACACACACACACACACCTGATCCATGAAACATCAAATGTCAGTCACTAAGGTGACAAAGACAGCTTCGAGCACAGAGAATCATGGGAAAGAATACAAACACTGCTGTTGTATCAGAATCCAGAGTTTCAAGAAGATCAGAGAAACTCAAAATTTCGACCCGAAAAAAACAACAACAGTGGTACCCCTTTCGTTTTTTTTCGGGGTGAGAAATTAAGTTCCTCCAATCTTCTCAAAACTCTGGATTCTGATAGAGGGCCATGAGACTTAGTCCTGAGTGCAAAAAATGGAGGCTTTAGACCCTTCCAGAGCTGAGATATTGAGATATTTATAATGGCATTAATGCTAAGTGGGATCTCAATATCTCAGCTCTAGAAGGGTCTAGAGCCTCCATTTTTGCACTCAGGTCTAAGTCTCATGACCCTCTATCAGAATCCAGAGTTTTGAGAAGATTGGAGAACCTTAATTTTTCGCCCGGAAAAAAAAAAAAGAAAGTGGTACCACTGTCGTTTTTTTTTCGGGTTGAATTTTTGAGTTTCAATATCTCAGCTCTGGAAGGGTCTAGAGCCTCCATTTTTGCACTCAGGACTAAGTCTCACAGCCCTCTATCAGAATCCAGAGTTTTGAGAAGATTGGAGAACCTTAATTTTTCGCCTGAAAAAAAAACCGAAAGGGGTACCACTGTCGTTTTTTTTTTCGGGTCGAATTTTTGAGTTTCGATATCTCAGCTCTGGAAAGGTCTAGAGCCTCCATTTTTGCACTCAGGTTTAAGTCTCATGGCCCTCTATCAGAATCCAGAGTTTTGAGAAGATTGGAGAACCTTAATTTTTCGCCCGGAAAAAAAAAAAGAAAGTGGTACCACTGTCGTTTTTTTTTCGGGTTGAATTTTTGAGTTTCGATATCTCAGCTCTGGAAGGGTCTAGAGCCTCCATTTTTGCACTCAGGACTAAGTCTCACAGCCCTCTATCAGAATCCAGAGTTTTGAGAAGATTGGAGAAACTTAATTTTTTGCCCCGAAAAAAAAACGAAAGGGGTACCACTGTCGTTTTTTTTGGGTCAAAATTTTGAGTTACTCTGATCTTCTTGAAACTCTGGATTCTGATAGATGGCCACGAGACTTAGTCCTGAGTGCAAAAAATGGAGGCTCTAGACCCTTCCAGAGCTGAGATATTGAGATATTTATAATGGCATTAATGCTAAGTGGGATCTCAATATCTCAGCTCTAGAAGGGTCTAGGAGCCTCCATTTTTGCACTCAGGTCTAAGTCTCAGAGCCCTCTATCAGAATCCAGAGTTTTGAGAAGATTGGAGAACCTTAATTTTTCGCCCGAAAAAAAAAACCGAAAGGGGTACCACTGTCGTTTTTTTTTCGGGTCGAATTTTTGAGTTTCGATATCTCAGCTCTGGAAAGGTCTAGAGCCTCCATTTTGCACTCAGGTCTAAGTCTCATGGCCCTCTATCAGAATCCAGAGTTTTGAGAAGATTGGAGAAACTTAATTTTTCGCCCGAAAAAAAAAAAACGAAAGGGGTACCACTGTCGTTTTTTTTGGGTCAAAATTTTGAGTTTCTCTGATCTTCTTGAAACTCTGGATTCTGATAGATGGCCACGAGACTTAGTCCTGAGTGCAAAAAATGGAGGCTCTAGACCCTTCCAGAGCTGAGATATTGAGACATTTATAATGGCATTAATGCTAAGTGGGATCTCAATATCTCAGCTCTAGAAGGGTCTATAGCCTCCATTTTTGCACTCAGGTCTAAGTCTCATGACCCTCTATCAGAATCCAGAGTTTTGAGAAGATTGGAGAACCTTAATTTTTCGCCCGAAAAAAAAAAACCGAAAGGGGTACCACTGTCGTTTTTTTTTCGGGTTGAATTTTTGAGTTTCGATATCTCAGCTCTGGAAGGGTCTAGAGCCTCTATTTTTGCACTCAGGTCTAAGTCTCATGGCCCTCTATCAGAATCCAGAGTTTTGAGAAGATTGGAGAACCTTAATTTTTCACCCGAAAAAAAACCCGAAAGGGGTACCACTGTCGTTTTTTTTTTTCGGGTCGAATTTTTGAGTTTCGATATCTCAGCTCTGGAAGGGTCTAGAGCCTCAATTTTTGCACTCAGGTTTAAGTCTCATGGCCCTCTATCAGAATCCAGAGTTTTGAGAAGATTGGAGAACCTTAATTTTTCGCCTGAAAAAAAAAATAAAACGAAAGGGGTACCACTGTCGTTTTTTTTTCGGGTCGAATTTTTGAGTTTCGATATCTCAGCTCTGGAAGGGTCTAGAGCCTCCATTTTTGCACTCAGGTCTAAGTCTCATGGTCCTCTATCAGAATCCAGAGTTTTGAGAAGATTGGAGAACCTTAATTTTTCGCCCGCATAAAAATCCGAAAGGGGTACGACTGTCTTTTTTTTTCGGGTCGATTTTTTGAGTATCGATATCTCAGCTCTGGAACGGTCTAGAGCCTCCATTTTTGCACTCAGGTTTAAGTCTCACAGCCCTCTATCAGAATCCAGAGTTTTGAGAAGATTGGAGAAACTTAATTTTTCGCCCCGCAAAAAAAACGAAAGGGGTACCACTGTCGTTTTTTTTGGGTCAAAATTTTGAGTTTCTCTGATCTTCTTGAAACTCTGGATTCTGATAGATGGCCACGAGACTTAGACCTGAGTGCCAAAATGGGGGCTCTAGACCCTTCCTGAGCTGAGATATTGAGATATTTATAATGGCATTAATGCTACGTGGGATCTCAATATCTCAGCTCTGGAAGGGTCTAGAGCCTCCATTTTTGCACTCAGGTCTAAGTCATATGGCCCTCTATCAGAATCCAGAGTTTTGAGAAGATTGGAGAAACTTAATTTTTCGCCCCGAAAAAAAAAAGAAAAGAAAGGGGTACCACTGTTTTTTTTGGGTCAATTTTGAGTTTCTCTGATCTTCTTGAAACTCTTGATTCTGATAGATGGCCACGAGACTTAGACCTGAGTGCCAAAATGGAATGGCATTAATGCTATGTGGGATCTCAATATCTCAGCTCTGGAAGGGTCTAGAGCCTCCATTTTTGCACTCAGGTCTAAGTCTCATGACCTTCTATCAGAATCCAGAGTTTTGAGAAGATTGGAGAAACTTAATTTTTCGCCCTGAAAAAAAAATGAAAGGGGTACCACTGTCGTTTTTTTCGGGTCGAAATTGTGAGTTTCTCTGATCTTCTTGAAACACTAGATTCTGATAGAGGGCTCTGAGACTTAGACCTGAGTGCCAAAATGGGGGTTCTAGACCCTTCCTGAGCTGAGATATTTATAATGGCATAAATGCTACGTGGGATCTCAATATCTCAGCTCTGAAAAGGTCTAGAGCCTCAATTTTTGCACACAGGTCTAAGTCTCATGGCCCTCTATCAGAATAGAGTTTTGAGAAGATTGGAGAAACTTAATTTTTCGCTTGAAAAACCCCCCGAAAGGGGTACCACTGTCGGTTTTTTTTTTCGGGTCGAATTTTTGAGTTTCGATATCTCAGCTCTGGAAGGGTCTAGAGCCTCCATTTTTGCACTCAGGTTTAAGTCTCATTGCCCTTTATCAGAATCCAGAGTTTTGAGAAGATTGGAGAACCTTAATTTTTTGCCCGAAAAAAACCCCGAAAGGGGTACCACTGTCGTTTTTTTTTTTCGGGTCGAATTTTTGAGTATCGATATCTCAGCTCTGGAAGGGTCTAGAGCAGGGGTGGGCAAACTTTTTGGCTCAAGGGCCACACTGGGTTTTAAAATTTGGCTGAGGGCCAGCCATTTACGTGGATCACGTAATTTACGTGGTATATTAATTTATATGCTATAGATATCCCCATTTAGCATTGTTATATTTTGGGGTTATTTTTTTTATTTAATTTTATATTTATTTTAATTTTATATATATTTATATTCTTTTTTAAATATTGTTTATCCTTAGTATTATTTAATGAGCCTAACAGTAAATTAGAAACAAAACACCAGCAAGTGTACACTTAGTAGAGTAAAAATTAGAGCAGGTTACATCAATTCAACTTTATTAAAACTCCATATGGTAATCAAATTGCACTTAATACACAAACGTTATATATTTGTGAAAAAATAAAATAAAAATAAACAAATTTACTAATTTATTTTAAGTATGATAAATAAAATGTAAAAATCAAAAGCAGATAAGAACATTTATTGAACAAACGGCAGAGACGGGAGCGGAGCGAGGCGGGCGATAAAGGTAACCGTAAGCAGTCCAAGAGACAAATACAGAGGAGCAAAGAAACTAAATATCAAATGAAAAACTAAAAAATCTAATGAAAACTAATCAGGCGTACAAGTGGTTACTAACATTTTTTTTTCTCTGTGATTTTCCAAAAAAGGAAAAAATATTAACGTGCAACAAGGAGCCTTGTTGTGCTTAAGTCGCTGTCTGGAGGAGTGCTGAAATGTCAATGATTCAATCGTACCAACGTTCTGTTTCCTGGGATATTAGTTAAAAATTGCATATGACAAATTACAAAAAAACGGTCTGACTCTGCAGCGTGAACTTTGCAATGCAACCGTTATTTATTCACTGTATGGTTTCCATGGTGACGTGTTATTGTTTGTCACGTGACACACCGCAGCACAGCCACAACAGCTCTGAATGAATGATGATCTGCTTTATTCAAGTATTGCAGGAAAAAGGCAAAATGAATGTGTGACAGGGATGTTGGTTCGGTGAATGGGTGATGGAAGGAGACACAGGGTTGGCGAATACTGGGGCTCGTGCACTTTATTGAGTTACTTTCTCTTCCCACTGCGCTTGCTCGTGCTCACACAATTAATTCAGAATATTTCAAAAACAAATCACATATAAAACAATACTCTTCCCGCTGGATACAGCTTCTCAGGTCACAAATGCAGCAACACTCTTTCCACTGAAACAGCTTTCAGCCCAGTGTTTTCTCTCTCTCGACAGCGCATGCACAAGCTCCCAGTCTCTCTCTCCCCAATCTGTCAGCATGGCCCGCTTGCCG